CTCACCTTTGTTATGGCTGCACAAAAAGTTTTATGACGACGAATTTCCATCACCTTATATCCACTGAACATATTCATTCCGCTCAAATTGGCGACATTATCATTATTGATTTTTTATTATCAGAACTGATTCATACAGCTATTTTCGTTGTTGTTTGAATAATTACTCTGCCGTGATCTATGGGAAAAACAGTATTTTGTTTTATTAGCGTCTTGCGACTCGCCTATGGAGAGCAAAGCGCCAGCTAGCGCTGTACATAGGGTGCGAATTGGTGAACGTTCTCTTTTTAATTATCGCTCTTTCACTCATTTTTTTGTTTATTTCGTGTTTGTCCCCCGTTCTTCTATTCATATGCTTGTTTTGTCAATATGTCGTATTAAAGAAATGTAAATAAATTATTCAGCCTCTCGAGCGCCAGCTTTTCAAAATGTGGGCACCCTATAAGAAATTTCTTTTTGATTTCAAAAAATTTGAGATCAAAATAAAAATCAAAAATAATATAATAATTTAAATAATAGAAAATCAAAATATCAAGAGATTTAAATGCTTAGGATTTCCAAATTGCAGCCGCATAGATTGCAGAGATGGAACCTTCATTGAAGGAAATTACAAAAACAAAAGAAATTCAATCAGCCAAACGAAGCATTTTCGTCGGCACATGAAAGATGAAAGACGATTTTCCAAATCGTACGTCGCAACAACAACAATCACCATAAATCTGAAAATAAAAAATGAAAATATGATATTAGTTATGAGAGCAATTTCCACAACTCTTACCTTTTCGATCTCACCAGTAGTATAGCTGAAATCACGCGAAAAATCAAACAATGATTTGTAGAGTCCGTTTAAATCTTTAGTTTCGACACCACACATATAGCATGTCTCATTCCGGGAAAATACTAAAAAATAACCAAGTTTTTGTAGAATTTGACTTTTTAGAAGATACTCACGAGTGAAATAAGTGAAACACAAGGGAACATCTTTGCGAGAACCATCAAAATTCCAACCATTTTGAGAAAGCAAACGCCAGAAATTGCGTGTTTTCCATACTACCCTGCAAACTGGATGTTCTCTATATGTTCGAGAGACTTTAATGGTATTACCTATCCTTCGGGAAGAAAGGAGGTCCTTCACCAAAACAACGACGATCCTCACGTATAATTTTAGCTATCAGCTCATCAACTTGATAGAACTATAAATATAAAGTTAGAGAATCATATAGAACAAAATATGTATTGCAAGAGACCAATATTTCAAACAAAGGTGATCCAGTTCTATCTCATAAAACTGCAACAATAGTATGCA